AAACTAATTTTTTTTAAATGCCCATGTCCAAGTAAATTAAAAAAGATATAAATTGTCAACTTGTAATTATTTTACTATCAAAATAGAAAACTAGGTCAGACATAATTTGTTTTAACAAAAATTCCTTATAATAGATATTGTAAAATATCCATTAATAAAAAAAAAAATCTGAAATAATTTTGTTTTATATAAACCTCACTTTTTTGGGTTTACTATGATGTTTATTCCAAAATAGTTAATTTTCTCGCCATTAGAACTATGTTAATCGGGGTTCAGAAATCGTATACTTTACACATTTTCTGGAGGGGTTTAACGTTCTTAATAATTTCCTCGTCTATGGTCCTGCGAAACACTTATTAGGGACTCGTAAATATATAAAAAAAATTTTATCATCTCTATAAAAGAAATCAATTAGTCAAGGTTCAGGCTTTTTTTGTTCCGTAACCAAATTTCTTTTTCTTTACACTAATCTAATTTACATGTTTGTAACTTTATATTTTAATATACTTTATTTTAGAATGTTTAAGGCGATCATTCTTTAGTAACGATATAATATATTGTAATAATATATTATATGTTGTAAATTGGATAACGTGATTTTATGTGTTATACAATTTTAGATAATTGATTCGTTGTATATAAAAAAAAGAAGATATATTATTTTTAATCAGTTAACTTTTTTATAAAAAAGAATCGTTTTAAAATCTTAAATTTAAATTCTTTATATTGAGCTAAATCCCGAATAATTCCTACAAATTCTAACGTACAAGTCAAGCTAACATCCCCGCTTGTCAACACTAATAATTACAGGAAAAAATTATTTTCGATAGAAATGTTTCATGATCCTAGCGAAGATGGATTAAACACCAACTTATATAAATAATTAGAAAGAAAATCCCAAAAAAAATTATTATTTTTGGGATATGTCTGATAAAACTAAATACGAGTTGATTATATTATATTTATATCATAAGTATTTATATTTCAGAGTTGAAGGATCGAGATCAAATGATCAACAATCCTAGATTCGATGCGATTCCAGCATAGATTTTTCGAGATCTTGGTCGAGATCTTTTTATTCTTTTTAACTATCAATAAACTTAACTTTTAATCACCCACGCCCCCTCCCCTCCCTTTATTTAACTAAAAAAAAATTTAAATGCCATTGGTGGTTTTATATTGTTCATTTTAAGTTAATCAAACAGGAACTTCGTTTTCAGTTTTTCCGGGACAAACTAAAAAAAAGAAAAAGTAATTCTATTAACCGATGCTATTTTGTGGAGGGGGGAAAAGGCGAAACCCGAGGCCCTACTCTCCCTAGTAAACTATTTGCAAACTAAACTGTTTAAGGTTTCTACTTTTGTAGAATAATGTAATATGTAAAAGGGTAAATCTCTTTTTGTGCTAAAGATTACTATATTCTGTTGAATATACTGAGTGGCACGAGAAACACCGCACTTCGATACAATGCCGTGTCGAGACTTTTGGCAGCCCAGGACAAAAAATTAATTGACGGCCCCTTAAAAAAAACACAATTTGCCTAAGCTTATTTGATAACTTTTAGCAATCAAGAATTAGAAGCATATAAACTTATTTTAATCATAAATAAATATTTCATTTGCGCCGATTTTTTAAAAACGGCTTACTCAATATTTTAGCCAGAAAAATGTTGCATAAGCTTCGAGATTTCGCTAATAGATGTCTAAACCATTGAACCCTCTATGAGCAAATTCTTCAAGCTTGCGTAATAATTCTGGATAAAAAACTGAGATAACCGTTTTAAAAAAATCATTTTGCGTCACTAATGATGAATAAAGTACATCATAAAAAAACGAATATAATCATAGAATAAAATATCGCAATTTATCCTCCTCGCCATTTTATTTGCGAAAAAGGATATTATGTCAGCATAATCTAGTGATGAGGCTATATCATTTTCTATTGAAATTAGAGAAACAAGTCGGTCCTGTGCCATACAGGATCTGAGAGGCTGTGTTCTGCGGATGCCACGGCAATTGGAATGATTATAGTGATCCTTAATCCAATGGATATATTTGGTAAACCTTCACTTAATCTAGTATAATTAATATCGCGAAAAATTTCGAATGGAGTTTTTAATACAATTAGTAGATCTTGCGGATTAATATCGCATTCTAACTTTCCTAATCTGTTAAATATTTGATTGACAACCTTCTTTTAGCTTTTATCGGGCACATTTATCAATTCTGGTATATTTAATATCGATCCAAAATGATCTTTAAAGAGCTTTAACAGCTGGAAATGTTTCTACAACGAATTTCTCGCTATATCTTGTAATCATTTAAAAATTCAATTATGTCTACTAATTAATGTTATTGAAGAAAAACACTGCTCTTCTAGACTCATTATCAATTCCTGTGCAATCTCTTTTGCTGAGTCAAGGGAATCCTTTTGTGCAGCATTTGGGATCAAAGGGTCTGCTAGCATATTATCAAATTAAACATTAAAAGTGGAATCTAAAATCAAAATACTCAATCAAGATTAAAGTAATTTAAAGTTTGCCCACCTGAAAGGTATATGCATAAAACGAAGACTTAAGTGCAAACTTTTTTTTACTTTTATATTTACTAATCAGAATATCCAAAAGTGCCTCTTAGCTTTTACAGCTATGAAAACAAGACCTTTAAGAGAAAATAGACCAAATATTTATCAAAATTTGTTAATAGAAATCGTTCTTTTAAAAAAAATTAATTTATTATATTTATTTACTACCGATTATCTTGTTTCCTTTGCCAATAGAAAATTTAATTAAAATGTTTTTAAAGATTATTTATAAATAGAGAAGAAAAAAAAGGAAAATAAATAAAATAATCAAATTTACTAAAATATATTAAAAATAAGAAAATTGCCAAACCTTTTTTCGAATATTTGGATTTTTTCAATGACATAATGTTTAGTCGGATATAACATAGGAAAAATTGGATATTGTGGTGATGAAAATGTGAAACAAACAACTGTATTAACATTATTTTTTTTAAAAATGTTGTTAAATTTTAATGATTCTAGAGAATTATTATATAGGTAATGGTAACTTGCTTCCTTATTATCTAGATGATAAGGCAATTCTTTAATAAAGTTTCGTTTAAAATTTTAATGGTATAGGCAACCAATATGGCGTCCCCAGCTGATTTGCATTGAGGTACACTTTTAATGAATGAATCGTCAGTCTAGGTACTATATGTCATTGGATTTTTTATAAAATATAAATATTAATAAAATATCTTGTATGTAGTATATATTTTAGCTTCAATGTGTTTTTCCAGGCAATGTAATATTTTTTTCAACATCATTTTTTGAGCGCGTTTTTTTTTTTAATTTTAAAATCTGATCTTACCGGAAATGTTATTCTATCATTTTTGGAATACCTACCCTATAACAGACAATTTCGCCATGAACTTTTGAACTTTAATAAAAATTTTATTCGTTTTTCCGTAGATTATTATATAAATTATAAATGACTCAAAGGTTAAAGGCAAAATTATCTTACAATTCATAAAACATGTGTTCTATAAACATGCTGGAATACATTTCGGTAAAATCCGATTTTAAATTGTTAAAAAAGGTGCTCAACAAATGATTTAAAGTTTAAAAAGTAACATATTTCCGGAAATAACACATTTGACGCTAACATACACAAAAAAAAAATTTTCCCGGGAGGCTAAAAATAATTGAGTAAAATTATAAAAAATGGCGGCCCCTAAAATCGCGCCCCGCTCGCCCGCTCCCCTATTTGCACGGCCCTTTTATGAAATTTCGAATATTGTTAAAAAAAAGTATACAAGTCCTCAAAATTTTCTAAGATTTGATTGAGACTATTTTTTTTTAGAAAAATAAATTTTTGCAAAATATAACCCCAAGGGCCATTTTCAAACAAAACATTTATTTGAAGATTTTTCTAAATATATTTTTACTTCCAAAACAAATGATTTTTAGTATACAGCTGATCATTTTAAAATTACAAAATTTAAATCGCAATTTTAAATAAAGTTGTATAATTTGTGTAAAAAAAATGATGTCCATAGAAAAGAGAACCAATGTTACCTAAAGCTAATATTCTAGCAAATAAAATCCACAATTCATCTAATACTTTATTTGAGTAATTATGTTTCCCCTGGTTAATCGTGTCAGGCTTAATCTTTATTAAATATCAAAATAGTTTGATAGTTAAAAAAACACAAAATCGTCTGCATTAAATGAACTGACAAAAATGCCCTGGACAAAATGACCATAAGTACCCAGGACAAAAAGGCACTGGAGAAAAAATCCCACGGACAAAATACCTCAATTTTTGAAAAAATTTTGAACGCTTAAAAAGAGAAAAAAATTTTAAATTACCCTTTTAAAAAACATTTTTAAACTGAAGTATTTCTGTCCATTTTCGATAAATATTTTTGTCCGGGTTCTTTTGTTAAGAACATTCAGTGATTTACTGATGTCGTATTTGGAAGGATACATCTATTACGTTGCATTTGCTTTTTTCTCGCTTTGAAAAAAGTTTTGTTTGGAAATGGCCCAAGACCCTGAAATTTTTGGTTCCAATGATACAAGTTTACAATAAAATGAGAGAAATTTTAGAGGTATAAGATTTCAAAATGGTGACGTTTTCCCCCAGAAATATTTCGTAATTTTTTAAAAATAAAATCACTCAGCCCAAAAAATTCGGGACTGTCCTGGTCATAATGGGAACACCTGATCAACTTTGGCAAGCTTCCAATCCTGATTAGCCAAGCTACAAAAAAAATTAATAAAATCACCAAGTTGCAAGGTGAAGATTGAGACTACATTTCTTTTTTTTAGGAACTTGACTGAGCCGTTTTGGAGTTTACCAAAGTCAAGTGATTTAACAACCACCATTTTAAAATAAATAAATAAGAGGCAATAAATAAATATTTATTAAAAATCAAAGATATAAAAACATATCATTATATAAAATAAATAAATAATAACATTCTTTATTTTTTTTGTATAAAATATAAATAATTCATGATCAATCAATTTTTTAATTTGACATTTTGATAGGCGTTACCATTAGGGTTAGAAAATATTTTGGAGGAGGCGGAAGAGGTATTCTTGAGTTTTTCTAAAAATAATTTTGATTTTTTGGATAATTTGATGTTCCGAGGAATCGAAGAGGAGGGCAATATTTTTTGCTTTCGCATGGATGATTTTATACTTTTCGCGAGTTGAACGTGATCTTAAATATATTTTGTTTTTTTTAAAGTTGAATTATGTAAGTTAGTTTGATAATAATTTTGCAAAGAATAGTAATATATAATGGTCTAAGATTTAAGCGAGACAATCGAGTTAATGACGGGCTCTAGTTAGTGTTGTTACGGCTCGTTTTGAGCCGATTTTTTAAAACGGCTAACTCAATATTTTAGCCATAAAAATATTGCCTAAGCCTCGAGTGTTCCTTCTACGAGCAAAATCTTCAAGTTTGAGTAGTATTTTTCTGCATGAAATATTGAGTTAGCCGTTTATAAAAATCGGCTCAGAACGAGCCGTTTAACAACACTAGCTCTAGCGATAATGCATGTCAAGCCTTTTGCTAAGCAACGACCAAATTTTGTCAAGATATAAGAATTGTTTTTATTTTGTTTAATATATTAACGAAATCACGTGGTCGAGTCCGATCTACTAATTATCACCCCCCCCCCTACCATTCTCAAGTATGGTCACCAAGTTGGCTTCAGGAGAAAAACATGGCCCTTGTTAAATTCGAACTCAGATTTATCGGATTTGCGATCAACCCAATCACCGACTAGCCCACAGATATATGAAGACAACCATTTTTTTTCATATATAATAATATTATGTTATAACCCTTAAGTAAAGGCCTTAAAATTATTCCTTAAAGCTAGGGTTCGGATGGGGTTTAATATTTTTTTAACAAAAATACATTTAGATAATTTGCGGTTAAAATTTTGCTCTTCGGATGTGGGCCTAAAAATAATCAGTTTGGGACAGGCTCCATCTTTAAATAAAAATTTAGGTCGGGCTTGACAGGCCTGAAAATTGATTTTGCAGAGCTCCAACGTCAATTGTTGATGTTCTCTAGAAAAGTATCATCATATTTGTGTGTTGAAAAGTGTGTATATTATCGCTGGGGGAAAAATGACCTTTCAAAATTAATATGGCTGGATAGAGTACATGTATACAATATCGATGATTTGCTTTAAGAGCCCAATCGATCCAACCAAACTCGTGTAGATCGGATTGGGATAGACATTTCCGGGGGCTTGGTAAATAAAAAAATTTGAATTTTTTCTCGGATCAGACCAATAAATAAATAGAGCCCAATCAAGGGTTCTAATAACACGCTAATTCTTTTAATGTTTATTGCAATTGATTGAATATAACGTGATTAATAAAACATGAAAATTTGGTCATTGCTTAAATACAATTGTTTTTCATAAAAATTTTAACTGTTTTTAAATACATCCCCCCCCCCTTAATAACGCTGTTTCCCTATAAACGCTCCTTTTCATGTCACCAGTTACTTGGTACATTTTGTTTATTAATTATTGAGTCATTCATCTAGCCAATTGCTACTAAAAAATATTGAAACATTCCTGAAAAAAGGGAAGTTGATTGTATAGTAAAAGAAATTCTATCTTTTACCAATTCCTTTTCCCTAATCTCTTAATTCCGCAGACGAAAATTTAGTGAATAGATTAATGGGGAACATATCCAATATACATATCCATAACCGAGTAGTGGTGTTAAACGGCTCGATTTTTAAAAAAATGGCTAATCCAATATTTCCGCCAAAAAATGTTATGCGAGCCTGGTGATTTTGCTCACAGATAGCAAAAGGGTTTGTGGACATCCTATAAACAAAATTTCGCGGCTCTAATATTATTCCGGACTAAAATCTTAATTTAAAATTGGAGAAATAGAGCCGTTTAACAGCAGCACTAATCACAATATAATCCCTATTTATATCTTAAGATTCCCCTTCCCCATAAAGGCATTCAATTTCGAATTCTTGGGCAAGTATATAATTTTATACCTTTTTTAGCATTATGCAGTATAAGTTTGGCTAAGTATTTGTCCTTGTCCGATTTATCTAAAATTGGAATATTGAGGCTGTATTTAGATTTCACTGAATTTTCCTCCTCGGTTTTGATCTTTTCCATTTTTTTCTCTTTCTAAATTTTTAATAAGATAAATATATGATACCATAAATTTTAATCTATAAAATAACGTTTAGATAGCAAAACCAAAGTTTCACAGAGTTATAGCCACCTGGACTAAATGAAAAAGAGTTATGAATTGCAAAATATTTTCAAAGTGGTTCTGATGCCAAAAATTTTGAAAAAAAACTTTTTACTATCTTTTTAAACGCCCATAAGCGCTTAAACATAAAGCTAATCTTCATGCACGCAAAGGTAATTTAATGCCTGCCCAAAAATTGGCGGATTCTTGTCATTTTAAATTAACCCCCTCCCCATCTATCTTTTTTTTAAAACCTAGTTTGATGGGCGTGAGAAGAATAGCTCTGTTATTTTTACAACATAAAAGAGAACGATGCACTTAAAGAATCACGAAATTTAACGCAGTTCTGGGGGTTGCCATTCTAACTCTGATTGAAAGCGATCAAAAAAAACACTTTCAAACACAAATAAATAAACCCATCTAAAATGAATCACGCATTTTAAAAAATTTAAATATATAAATCGCCGCCGGATTATTATAAGGGTTTTTACGTCCCATTCAGATCATTTTTTTTTTAAATTTATAAGATACTTAAACTATAAAAAATCCTCTTTTTTTGTTAGAATTTTATTATAATAAAACTAATAAAAATTTTTGAAAACGGCAAAAAAAAAAGTGATTTATTGCCCTTTATTGAATAATGTGTATCTCATTCCATATACCCATCTTTTAAGAAATTTAGAATTTTTTTTTAAAAAAAGTGAGCCATGAGATTATTAATGGTATCGAGAGGAAGAAAAAATCTAGTTTGGCAAAAAAAAAGTATTCAACATAGTGCATATAATACAGGGTTAGAAACGAGGAAGTAGAACCTTAATTCGTATGATAAAGTGTGAGAAGATGACTGTTTTAGGTTCTATCTCCATAAGTAAAACTATGAATATATTTTTTTTTATATTATTACCTTAGATTTCAATAAAAATAAATAAAACAAATTTTGTTTGTCGATGGATGTTGGAATACCTTATGCAAAAGGGTCAAACCCTAAAAAAAAATATATTGTCACCTATTGGGTATCATTAATCCTAAAAAACGCCATTTTTAGTTAAAAATCTATGACTTTATGTTTGACACTTCTGGACCAAATAATCGCCAATAACTCTATAATTTTTTTGACAAATTATCGTGTTTGGGAGGTAATTCTATCGGTTATTCAGTATTCCAATTTTATTTGTTTATTTGCAATTTTTTAACTATAATTTATTTTTTTTTAAATATAAATAAAATAAAAAACATGAAACCCGCAATTGATCTCGGAGCCTCTTATTTTGGGAGAAATCGTCATCCCAAAGCGTATCTTGTATTTGAACTAAACGTTCCATAGTTGGTATAAGGGACATCTTTTTGCCTTCGTCTTCTACCCCTCTCTCCAATTTGTACATAGAATCTTTTTCCATCTTGTGGTGCTCCTTTTTTTCTGTTATAATAATAATAATAATAAAATAATGAATAATAATAATGTTAAAGCATGTAAAATAAATATACATACATATGTTAGCGTCAGTGTGTTATATTTTCAACTTTAAATTATTTTTTGTGCGCGTTTTTTTTTAAATTTAATTTTATCAGAAGTGTATTCTATCATGTTTGGAATACCTACCCTATAAATATCAGACAATTTCGTCATGAAATTTTGAACTTAATATAATTTATATTAGTTTTTCCATATCAAAGGTTGACGGCAAAATTATTTATAATTCATAAGATAGGTATTCTAAACATGCTGGAATACATTTTAGTAAAATCCGATTTTAAATTGTTAAAAAAGGTGCTCAAAAAATGATTTAAAGTTGAAAGAATAATATATTGAAGCTAATATATATTTGCTTTAACACAGAACATAATAGTGTTTTATTTGTTCTCAAACAGTGACAAACATACTGACATTTATAAATTTTTCAAAAATATTACGTCTACTTTAATAAGAATCAAAAAAAATATATATAATACCCTCCGTTTGAATTTGTTCATTCGCAATAGCATCCCATCTTCTCTCTTGCCTTCGAGCTCCAGATATTATTATGTAGTCCAAATTCTTATTTACATAATTTATTATATTAAATATTTATAAAATGGTGGAAAAATAAATTTACTCCTGTATATATTATATATATATCATCAAAATCAATAGCTTTATAAATTATTCTAATTAAAGGGAAATAATTTAAAAGGGTAAAGGATAATTTCGAAGACCCCGCAAGGTAGGTAAATTTTAAACCTGGACCGAACCCAAAAATAAAAAGATTTACTGCTTGTATTATCAATTTTTCCCTTTGAAAAAATATTTGCGATAAAAATTATTCAAAAGAACAAAATTTTAAAAATTCCAGGACAGGCTAGGCCCTATTTTTCTTTAAATATTCCCATAAGACAGTTTCTTTTCCATAATGATGCAAGTAACAAGAATCCATTCCAATATTGAGAGTTAATTAATATTTATGAATATTAAATTTGACAAATTATATACTCCTACTCTTTCGTTTATCAGCTATGATGAAAATCATAAGATAAAAGCTCTCTTGACACCAGACAGTAGAATAAAATATCCATAAAGTTAAGGAAATTTTTAAATTTTTCATTGATGAATTGTTAAAGTATATCATATAAAAAGATAAATGTGTGAACTAGATGTCCAAAGCCTAACCCAAACCTCGAAGCAAGTTGGGTCACAAAATTGTGATTATTTATTTTGGCTTTGATTAGGAAAATTTTTTCAGGTAGTAAAGTTAGGGGGTTCGACAGTATTTTTATTAAAATTTTGAATTTGATATATCAATAAATAATGGTTTCATAATAAAATATTTACAATTTTATTCATCTTAGATTTTTTATTATAACATGTACTAAAAAATAAATTAATTTCCTTTATATTCTGATTTATGAGTTGGATTGAGAATTAAAAGTAATTTTATATTACAATTTCTTTTGCAGGTCTCTTGTGGACATTACAAAATGCATATTTGTGAAAAATATCAAGCTAATTGCTGAATAAATTGCATAAAAAAACTTTTATGAATATTTTAGAACAAAAATCTAAAAAAATATATATTATCTGTAAATCAATTCAAACAAAGGTTTCTTTTATTTCATAAATGATTTATATAAAAACTTTAATAACCATAATTAATTATTTTTCACCCATATAATTATTAATTATAACAGAGTTGATCTTTAAAGTTATTAATCATATTTTTGTGATAGTTTGATATTAATAAAAATTTTTGATTAACAAATACCTGTGGATCAGTCTTCATTTCAAAATGATTAGGACAAAGGTGACATTTCATTCTGAATTTATAAATTGGTGTGGTATAATACATCCCAATCTTTGATTTTTGAGCATTAAATCTAACACTCATTCCAACATGATTTTCACATCCATTACACCATATATTATATGGCATTTCAAATCTAAAAAAAAATTAATATAATAATATATTTTTTTCATATATTTACCTGATAATAAGAATGCCCTGATCCAGTTTTCTGGCCCGTTCTCGTAAGGCATGGGTTCCATGATATTTATTTAAGCTGAAATGCTTGCTTGGATCGAAATCAGGAGGATAATATTTGTTCACTTGCTTTCTCTCTGCCTAATATAATATTATACATCAATTAATATAGTAAAATATTTACCATTTACGAAATTAAAATATTATGAATGTATGTTTAAAATATTTTTAGCTTATTTTAATCTAGTACTAAATATTACCTGTTAGGTTATAATAAAGGCCGATGATGCGTAGTATGCATTGCTGGACTATATCCGATTTATATCATCGGTATATTTTTGCAACACCCTATTAACTAGTTGTTAGTTAGAAGTGAACCAATTGGTGCTTATTATTTTAAATCAATCGAACATAATAAAATCCTATATTCATATGTATACAAGATAAAAACATGACTATATTCTCCACGATGAAACATGTTTGGAAATCTTATTCTTTATAATACATTCATTTTCAAAAATTTAAAAATATCCATGAATAGGAATAGCTTTGCGTTTTTACTACCTTTATAATATTACGCAAAAATTGAACGTTGCAACGCAGTGTTTCAAAACGCAAACAATGCATTTTAAATGCAATGTTTCAAATTGAACACATCTCCGTTTTTATTTTTAATTATTTTTTGTAAGACAAACTTGCTTCCATTTTTTTATAACTTTTTAAATTTTGAAGTGATAAAATTCTTCTAAATTGTAAGAATAATATATTAAAGGATATTATAATATTTTTAGGACATGGAACGATAAAAATACCAAAAGGTTTGCAGAAATTCTGGAACTCTTTATCTCAAGAAGAGATTGATAAACTTTTAGGATCATCTGAATAAGGATAAAATAGGAAAACCTACTTAATTAAATATTCATGTTATTTATTTTAAGTTGATAATAGCCAGTGGCGTCACTAGGGAGGGCGCGCAGGGGCTCGAGCCCCCTAAAAATTTTGAATAGATACTGAAGCAAAAAAAAATTTGTATTTTAATGACTCCTTAATATCCTTTGAGCTAAAAATAAATTATTTTGATTGCCCCCATAATGATTTCATTTATAATTCTATTACGTAATATATAGATTTAATTCTTGTACAAATTAAAAGGACTAACTAAATATTTATTAAATGAATACTATTTTAATTATTATATTAGATTAATACATATAAATTATATTTTCAGTTATTGCAATCAAAGTTAACAGTAGAAAATCCACTTACTAAATATTAATTTAGCATTAACAGTTGAAGCTTAATAGACTTTTATTATTTAAATTGTTATATAACCCTAATTAAATAAATATAACCATTTATTAATTGTAAATTAACAAATTAAATAATATAATTAGTCGCGTTCGAAATCACTAATCAACTATATTATTCATTTTCTCTTCCTAAAAATATTTCCAAGGTCCAAATAAGCATAAGATATTTCCTAATAAAAAGCAAGTAGATATAGAGTTTATAATCCTCTATTATATATAATTGTTTATAAAATATTAGGTAAAATGCCACTTTTACAGACGAATTTGACAGTTATACATATGTTATATTACAGTTAATATTTTAATAAATTTTACTAATAAATGCGGTAATAAATATAAATAACAATTTGCATTGAATTCTTTAACTCCATCTATAAACATCTTATTATCATCCCACATTGGATGTAATAAATTAGATATCTTTTCTTCTCTTTTTTTACATGTTTTTAGGAAAGCCATTTTTTTCTTATTTGAAAAACAGTTTTAAGTTAAATTTTTAATACGAGTATATTTGATATTATTACTAACTACTATTATTTTAATATATAATATACCAACTAGAGGTGGTGCGACAATAATATGTAAATCTTAATTATTTTCATCATATCACTCTGGTTCTTATTTTATAATTACAAAATGTTTCATTTCTAATATGGCATCCTTGCCTTGTAAATAACATAAGGCTTCAATATATTTGCTTAATTTCTTATAAAGATTTTTAGTGATTTTTGTATTATCAATTTATCTAACATAATAAATTTTGATATGAGTTAACATCGTGAGTGTCATGGTTATGACGGCAAATTTTCCAGAATCTATTATTTGTGTATCTATGTGAGTTTAGATTATTACTACAGCTGCTGAAAGATTTTAGATAAGCAATAATGGTCAACTGTGTAGCCGTTTATATATTATTAAAAATGGAAGATAATCTTATAGAAATTTAATATCTCACAATAATTTTCTCGATTACAATCTAGCTTCAATCATGTCATCTAAGAGGAAGCTTTAACCCATCATATAGTTTTATGATTTGGATTGGTCGTTTATATTCTCTTCTTAAAGAATTGTTGATTTGGTTAGGCGTATAAATTTTTCCTTATTAATCCATTCTATAAAACATTGTTTAAAATGGTAACAGTTGGTAAGAATTATATTATATTATGTGGTTTTTAAAATCCATTATAAATTGAGGCATATGTATGAAATAATTAACCTTTGTTATCACTTGTAATTCTTTAGAGCTCAAAAATTTTTTATATCAGCAATCGAAAATATTTTATACTCTAATAAATAGATTTTGTATTAAAAAATATTATTTTTAGAAATGTCTTGTATTGTTTTAATTATTTAAACGAGGAATGAGATTATTATTCATTTTTTTACGATAGAAGTCATGCCAGATCCAAGCTCACAATATTAGGAAGCATATAATTATTAAAAAGTTTATCCAGCCCACAACCCTTAATAATTTGTTAAAGATAATATCATGTCAGGTGCAAGCTAATATAAATTTTGAGGTTCCAAGCCCAGTCGTATCCAATATAATTTTGAAAATTTTTTCCCACCTCGGAGATAGTTAAGTTTTTAATTGATTTATCATTACACGAAGGGGAATTATCTAATTTACCAAAAAAAACATAAATAATATTAGGGCACACCTCATTTTGTCATGATTCTCTAATAATTGCTTTGTTCAGGCTTTCTCAGTTTCCCTTATTACCAATTCACATGATTTTTTTAAAATTAGTGCAACTGTAGGAGGCCATATTAAAACCAATTGTCAAAGTATTACATTATTTACTAATATATTACACAATTATTATTATTTTATATAGAAATTCATAACTGAGTTAATTCAATAAATTTAATATCTCTAGGCTTGAGAAAATTTTTTCAAAATTATTATGGGTTGGACTGGGTTTAAAAAATATTTCTCAAAATTAATATTGGCTTGGTTTTCAAAAATTATTAGGGATTGAAATGGGCTTGAGAAAATCTTTTTAAATTATTAAGATCTTGGATGCTTGGAAATTTATCCCAAATATTGTAGGCTTGAACCTATATTGGGATTTTTTAATGTTAAATGTTAGTCTTATATTATTATTTTTATAAAGTAATATATTTTACCCGTAGACTAATTGGTAAATAGAAATTTCCCCTTCATTAATTATAAATTTAATATCTCTGGGCTGGGTTTCAAAATTATTAGGGATTGAGGTGGGCTTGAGAAAATCTTTTTAAATTATTAAGAGTTGAGCTGGGCTTGATATACTTTTTTATAATATATATCTTTAATTATATGCTTCCTAATATTATGCCTCCTACAGTTGCAGTAATTTTGTAAAAAATTTTCCAAGCCTAGAGATATAAAATATTAATAATTTGTAATATATAGTAAATAATGTATTACTTTTTGGTTTTAATATGGCCTCCTACAGTTGCATAGAAAATTTAAGTTATAGGATCATCTGTTTGTATAAAATAAATAAATAAAATCAAATAGTAAATAATGTATTACTATTTGGTTTTAATATGGACTCCTAAAGTTGCATTAAGTTATAGGATCATCTGTTTGTATAAAAAAATAAATAAAATCAACAATAGTAAATAATGTATTACTTTTTGGTTTTAATATAGCCTCCAACAGTTGCATAGAAAATTTAAGTTATAGGATCATCTGTTTGTATAAGATAAATAAATAAAATAAACAAATAAACAAATAAACAAATAAACAAATAAACAAATAAACAAATAAACAAATAAAAAATAAAAAATAAAAATAAATAAATACGTACCGATGACATGACGTAACGATTACATGACGTAGCGATGACATGACGTCTCGATGACATAGTGAGGACATCGGAAAATTATAATATAGATGCTAGTTTATTTTGTATGCATAATATAATTAATGACACAATATGAAATTCAGAATAATTGTTCAGAGTTTGCAAATTTTAAAAAAATATAATATATTAATATAAAATTCGGCAGAAGGCTAGGCAAAGCGGACCGAAGGCTCGCAAATTAGGGGTAATGGGGGGCGGAACCCTCATAAATTTTTTTTAGTTGAGCCCCAGAGATTGCAAAGGCTAGCGACGCCCCTGATAATAACTTACTTGGAAAATAAAGAATAGGGTTGTGCCAATCCTTAAATTCTGTTCTTATATTGCTAGAAAGCCTATCCCATACTGTTCCAAAATTTATATTGATTTTATTTATCATATATATTTGAATAAATCCCACAAAATATTTTACTATTCATAAAAAATTACAAGTGTATTTTGTTTTCTTTATTCTCAAAAAGTTAATTACCTCTTTTAAAATATTTGAAATGTTATTTTCCATGTGGAACTCTCAGCAACAAAAAACTTAAAGAACTGAATGAATTTAATAGGTTATTAAATGTTTTGGATGAAAAGCCATCGGATGCAGGGTTGCCATGTCTCCCCTCATCAGCGGGAGACTCCCGCAGTTTTTTAATTTACACTCAGACATTTCTCTCCCGCAAAACTACCACAATAATAAATCTCCCGCTAAAATCTACCGCAATTTTTTAATTTCTCCCGCAATTTTTTTTTAGTATTTTAACATTTTTAATATATAAATAATAATTTTGAGAGACATTAATTGATTATTTTTATATTTTTAAAATAATTTTAAATATTTATTCGAAAAACATGTCTAGTTTGTAAATTTCTTTCTATCCTGTTTTATTATTATCCAATAATAAATCAACATCATTTCATTCATATAAGTCAGTACAGGGGAGTATATCAACATCGATTGCAATACAAAAATATTCTCAAAAATAATAAATAATACAGATGCAACTACATTTGCGGAAATCGTATACATCTATCATGTAGTTCAACATTCACAGAGCTATATCATCACAATGTGGGTCAAATAT